TAAAAACCGAAATGAAACCGAAACCATAGGAATTCTTTCCTACCTCCTAAGACAATTCTTATATATTGACTCGACTTACATAGCCAATGCATTCAGATTAGATAATGATGGTATTTCAAATGAAAAACAAATCTTAGGATCTCGTTATAAAAGAAGGGATAGTGCAAGTGTCTTAGACCTTCATGAACGTTTTCTTCATCTAATGATTTCTTGGTGGTTTCGACCATCCGGAGGTCGTTATTCTACTCTTAGAGCCTTGGATCTTTGGTGGTTACATTGTTTTGAAAACAGTATTAAAATAAATCTACCTCAGATCATTTTTACTGAAATTGTTGAAATCGTAAACCTTGTTCCTAACAAAAAACTCTGTTCATCTCTAGTTTACGATTGCATTTTGAGTAACCTATTTTCTAAAGTCGGGCTTAGAGTTGGTCTAGATGCCTCATTTCCTCTAAAAAAACAAATTAATCTTCTTTCCTTAACGAGAGCGGGATGGATTAAGGATAAGGAAACTGGTGAATGGATTCGATTGTCTGAAAGTACTCCGGGAGCAAGTTCTTCATGAGCACAACCAGAAGCTGACGACGATCCCGAGCTTCAACAATTAATGCGAGACATCGATGAAGCCGAAGATGAGCCTGAGCAGCCCGAGGAGCAAGCACAACAAACACATCAAATGCCTCCATATTTTCAATCTTTTATGGAGACATTCGATTTTCGATATGCTACCATGGATTCACGCTTTACTTCTATAGAGTCTCATTTATCCACAATGGGAGCTCAACAATTAGAAATCCTCCAAGAGATACGCACAAACAACGCTTTGATGAATGAACGTATTGATGCACTCTCACACGAGATGGCCGCTATGCGAGCTCGTTTTCCTCCTCCCGATCCGGATGTTTGATTCTATGCTTAGTTTTTTTTAAAAAAAACTTTGAACTAAAAGATTATTGTTTTAACATTTTGAATTTTTTGGAATGTTTGAATTTGTGGATTGATTGATTTTGAATTTGTTTCGATTTATGAGAACTTATATATTTGGTGTGGTTAAATTTATTCATTACTGCATCATTTACATCATTTTAGCAATATGACCAATTTTGCCATTTCACATTAATTATGAATATTGATTATGAAACTAATGGCTAACGTTTCTCTTGATTGTGATCTTAGCAGCTTAATCTATATACTCAATTGGCTAAATGATTTCAAAACCTTGTTTAAATTCTTTACAAATGTCTTTTTGATTTAACAAAAAGGGGGAGAAGTGTTAAATGTGTTAAATGTTTTAAAAGATGAGTAAGTGTTAAAGTAAGGGGGGTAATTTTTAAAAAACGTCGGTTTTTGATTTCAAAATCTTAAAATTACTAAAATGTTTTGTTATATCAAAAAGGGGGATATTGTTGAAAACATTTTGATATTTCGATATAACAAATTAAGTTAAATGAATTTTAAGATTGTGCAATAAGGTTTTCTAAGTATATTCAATATAATTATTCGAATATCAAAACATTACTCTAAATCTTTCAAAAATCATTTTTAATCCTTACTCAAGTGTAAAATTAAGTTTTAATCTTAAAACAATTTCAAAATAATTTTACAAAGTATTTCGAACCATTTCAAAGCCAAAAATTCCAGATTGCTCAGAGGGAACCGATTTCCCCCCAAGGGGGTACCGATTCCCCTTGAATGGTTTGGCTCCGAGAATTCCAGTATGCTCGGAGGGAACCGATTCCCCCCTGTGTAACGGTCGAAATATTTGAATTTTACACTTAGGGAACCGATTCCCCATAGGGGGTACCGATTCCCCCACGCTCCAAACTGTTTTATTAATTATTTTCACACTAAAACGGCTATATTATCTTCTCTAATCATCCCCAACGTTTAGAAGTGATTCAAGGTGTATTTAAGCAAGCTTAGAAGCCATTGATCAATAATAAGAAAACATCAAGCAACTAGAATCAAGAGAGAATCAAAGAGAAAGCATCAAACCTTCAAGTTTGAGCATTTCAAACCTATTTTTCATTCAATATTCATTTTTCTTTCAAGAACACTTATTGTGCTAATTGTATTCATTTTTTAGTGTTTTTTCTTTGTTCTAGAATTGTGCAAACAATCTACCTTGTGAGGATTTCCTTGTAAGTTTGCAAATTTGTATTGTTCTCTTTGGGAGAGAGTGTTCTCAAGAATTTGGGGTATAATTCTTGAGGGTTTGTAAGGTTACTCTTTGTCCTCAAAAGAAAGACAAATTAGTGAATTTGTGGAAAATCCTTAGTGTGGATAGCTAAGGTAGTGGACGTAGACTTTGGTTGAGAAAGTCGAACCACTCTAAATCGCTTTGCAATTTCTTTCAATTTTCTGCAAAAGCTTCCACCAAAATTTTTATTGCCAATTCACCCCCCTCTTGGCCAATTTTGTCAATCGATTAACTCAACAAAAAACAGTAATAGCGCCTATAAAGTATCGATATTTTATAAAAATGTATCGATACATAACAATATAACAAGCAAAAATATGACAAAATCGGTTTTATTATAACAAATTCGGTAAAACGCTACCGGATATGTTGAAAGTATCGATTCCATTCAAATAACTATCGATACTTTTGGAATTTAAAAGAAAAACAATAATAGCACCTATAAAGTATTACATAATAATATAACTGGACGATATTTCTATAAATATCCATATTTTTAAAGTAAGTATGAATACATAAGTTATGCAATTTATGTTTCAATTTTTTTTAATAGTTCTTCATGTTTTTCACCTACAATATTAATTTAATAATTTCATTTACACAAAAATTATTTGATTGTTTAGATATTTTATAAAATATTATTTAGAATTTAAATTTAATAATTTTAACCAAAGATAATAATAAATATGTAATATCTATGTTTATTTTTTTAATTTAATAATAATATATACCGTAACATAAAAATAAATCATTGGACACATATAATTACTAAATTAATATCTTAAAACTCACTCAAAAGATAACCCTAAATTAATATTTTTCACAGTGAAATAAGTACGGACACTTATATATATGTATCGATACCTACCGGTTACCAAAGTTTACCGGTTACCAAATTTTTTAATAGATTTTCATGTTTTCTACCTACAACATTATGAGTCTGACAACATAATAAGTAGCGATTTACTTAATTTATTAATTATCTTATTAAATTTCCGGTCACTGTTTTTTAACCGTATATTAGTCCTTTTTTGAGACAACCCATCAAGTCAAACTAAAATCAGATTAAGAAATTTAGCCCTCGTTTTAAAGGTAGGGGAGGGGAGTCACTAAATAATAAAAATGTGATTATATTAAAAAATATTAAAAAACTCAATCAAACAACTCGAAAAATAAAAATACGAATAAATATCAACATTGATGATAAAAGGTATATACAATCAACATTAACATAAAAATACATATAATGATAATGACATATTAACAATTGATCTTATCACAAATCAATACGAGAGAATCAATCGAGATCCAAATCAATGATAGATCATCACAATGAACGTTTAAATCATCTATCAATAATAAATAAATAAATTTAAATAATGAACAATATATTTTTGAATAATTTGGAGTGATTAAAATGTAGTATTTAGGGGTGAGTGTTCGATTGAGTCTAGTTGAGTAAAAAAAAATATGAGTTATTCAAGTTGACAAGTTCTATTTTATAACACAAACTTGATTTAAAAAATTTTCGAGTCGAGTTTATAAAATTTGAGTTGATTCTAATGTTCGAGTTTTTGTTTAAATTTAATTGTAAATATTTATAATATTATGATACTATTTGATTCACATTTAAATATTTTTATAACCATATACGATACATATATATTTGTTCATATTTTTTTATATGTGATATACATATATCATACAAGGTCGAGAAACTTGACTCAAACTTGAAAACCAATCTACTAATTACTAAAAATCGAGTTATTCGAATTGTATTTTATAACTCGACTTGAACCTGAAATTTTTTCGAGTCAAGTTTATGAAATTACTAAGGGTGTTTAAACGGTTAATTCGGTCACCGACCAAACCGAATTAACCTGACTTTTTTCTTTAACCGTTAACTGAACCGAATAAAGTTCAGTTATTTCGGTTGGTTAACAGCATTAAACGATTTTATTTTATAATTTTTTTATAATTAGATTAATTTAAATATAATATATGTATATTTTTTTTATTTGAATTAAAAATTAGTTAGTTATTGATAATTTAATGAGTCTAGTGTGATTAAAAAATAATGGATATTATTTTTAATAGATTTGAGATTAAAATATGTTTATAATATATATATATATATATATATATATATAAGATTTAATAATTTCGGTTAATTCAGTTAATTAATCGATTTCGAACCGAATTAACCGTTAACAAGATATTGAAAAACGTGTTAACCATTCTCCGACCGAACTAATTCGTTGGCCGACCGAATAAACCGAACTAATTCGTTTTGGTCTGTTAATTAAGTTAAAATCGAATAATGAACACCTTAAAAATTACAACTCGAAGTCAATTCAAGTCGAATTTTTTTAAGTCAAGCAAAAAAAAATCAAGTTTTCGAGCCGAGTCTAGTTGTACTCACCCATAATACTAATATTTCTCAACCATTGATAACGCACACACACTTGTAAATGCAACTGCTGAAACTGATATATTGTACAAATAAATATGTTTATTTGATGAACCGAACATACATTGTCCTCAAACTATAAAATAATAGTAATATTAATAATTATATTTAAAAACCAACCTATTGTTAATTATATAACAATCAAACAACGAATAAATGATGAAACGAGATGTAAATGATTCAAATAAATATGTTCATTTGATGAACTGAACAGACGTTGTCCTCAAACTATTCCTTCACTAAAGGAATGTTAAAACCTTATTCAAATTCGTCTATTTAATTCGATAAATAATTATATGAACATTATAAACCAAACCATTCACAGGTTGTTCACCTAAAGCTACAATCATTTAGACCCCTGCACTTCATATTGTTCGATGTTTGAAAACCTGGGATTTCACTGCCGACAAGATTGAACGGCAATGGCGGAGGGTTTCGCCAATTGGGAAGCTGTCCCGTTATCATAAGTGTCTCCAACAATGGTGCTGTATCAACAACAGCATCCAGCAATCTCCCTTTCTCCGGTAAGGGCTTCTCTTTAATCAGAGTGTCGATTATTTTTCCTATCGAAGTACATTCTTCGACGAATGAAGTTCTCGACATTTTCGAACGGATACCGATACCGCCGGCGGTCGATGGAACGTTGTGGGAGGGGTCGGTTTGAGGTGGAATATTGGATGATGGTAAGAGCTTGTTTAGGAGTTTCTTCAATTCGAAGACTTCGGCCATTGATTTCTTCAATTGTTCTTTAGCTTCATCTCTTTCACGGCATGACTCGGACAATAGCCGATATAACACATTCGTGGTCTGTTGTTGCATAACAATTTCGCTTAACAGATCCTCTCTCTTTGATTCTACTTGACTGTTGTAGCACATTCGCCTCGATCTCAGTTCAACCAGCATCTAAAAGATTTGGAAATTATATCAGTAATGACATAACATTAGGCTCAAATTATGAAAACAGATACGTAATGAAATACATTTGGTAACGCATACACATCTTGCAGATGCATATATTTAAACCTGAAATGTTTGAAGAAAACAACATTCTTTTTTACTACCGAGATTACTCAATAGATTATTTATTTGCATAAGATTTTTTTATGAGTGGAACATTATGTGATATCAAAGGTTTGATTTAGAATCAAAATCAAGTTAGGAATGATGCTCTCTTAATTGATCAATAATATTAATGATCAATAAATCATTCAGTTGAAAAGGGGTTACTTGAGCACTTCAGCTTAATTAAGAAAATATAAATTAGAATTAAAAATATTAAAGATTTCTTCGTGATTTATCTTTTTTGTTTTTCAGCAAAGAAAACGAATATCACCTCTTAAAAACATTGTACAAAAAACGACTCTTATAATATCATTTGTTTGTTAAAGCCATTTGCAATGACAAAAAGAAAACTTGCTCTTGTCGATCCCTAAACCAACATCTCAGGGATGGAGGAAATTACCAAAATCAAAACTAAAAAAAAAAGATGACTAACCTTGTTTTTATTCAACGATGTAGACATGACTCGTCTGTCTCTGGGTTTATTATTGCCCTACCTATGACGGCACAAAAAGAAGATTAACAACAAGTGTAGAAGAAGAACAAATTTATATTAAAAGAAAAAATAAACATTATGGTAATAATTTAATGGGGTAAGTCTTCTTATAAAAGATAGACTTGGAATAAATAAATCAAGTAGAAAAGGAGGCCCTTATAATTTTTTTTTTATAATTATGTCGATTATATAGAATGTCCGAATTAAATGGGATTTGTATTCTTGTTTTGCTGTCATAATCCATATATTTGTATTAACATGAATCATATCATTAATTACATTTTCGTGTCGCCATAAAAGGAAATGGAAATTTTAGATTTTCTTAAATCGTCAATAAGAGATTCTCCTTCGTCCTCCTTTTCCCTTAAGATTCCTTATAATTTTTGGCTCGCTTTTTTAAATGTTTACAGGTAAATTTGTTTCTCATAATTATTAGATAACTTATCCCAACTTTTTCCCATTCATACATAGGTGGCAATGACAGCAAATCAAGTCTTAACTTGTATGTTTCCCGCAGTTAACAAACCCTTATAATTACAATTACAATTACAATTTCAAATCAAATTCAATAGAATATGACATATGGGATGATAATATATGTTTAAAATACTCTCTAGAATTTTAGGGATAACAATCATCCCTTAATCGTTGAGGCCGCTGAATTCGTGTAAAAAATGTTATAATATTAATAATGATGTTAACATTACATTTTTAATTACTTTTCAATCATGACATGGCGTTGTTTTATGATGATATGTCAATGCCACCCCTATTTTTTTTAAAGACGAATGACCAAAACAGAACCAAAATGTAACATTAAGAGTGATTTAAAATAAATAATAGTTGAGTGAGCAAAACATAAATTAAACAATAAATGTGTGACTGAATAAGTAATTTGCCCTTTTTGAGTATTTTTGTTAGGTGGGTAGACCTGGCAAACTTGACCCGAACCCTATTACCCGAACCGATTTACTCGACCCAATACTCGAAATTAACCCGAACATGATAATCAAATTTGATCATATACCCGACCCATACCTGACCCGAACTATACCCGATCCAAAATTTAGCGAAACCGAAATAAACCAGAACTAAAATTAACCCGAACCGAAACCGTAATTAACCCCACCCAAAAGCAACCCGAACATATTGACATTAATAAAAGTTATTAAACGATAAAAGTTATTTTCAATAATAAATTAATTTAAATAAAATTGATAATTTATTTAAAATATAAGATTTATAATAAAATAATAGAAAGTTTAAGAGAATATAAAAGTAAGAATCTAATTGTAAAGATTGGAAAAATAAAAAATAAAGTTTACTTATCTTACTTGTTATAAAAATATTAGATTTATAATAACAATAACAGAAAATAATTAAAACAAAGAAAATAATATTAGATTTATAATAAAAAATAATATAAAATTTACTTATGTTAAGACTAAAACTTAACAAATATAGTTATGTATTATTTTTTAAAATTTAATAAAAATATTAAATTTATAATTGGAAATAAAATTTTTAATAAAAAATATTTTTTTATCAAATAATTCTCATTATAAACTTTTCATATGAGATCAATATAAAATTTTGATAACAAATTCTAACACGTATTATAAGATCATATTTGTGTCAAATTATGGATTTATTATCTTTAAATAATGGTTTAATTCAAAATATTAAACGATTAAGAATTGAAATTAAGCTTAAATGATAAAAGTAACAAATAATAAGACATATTTTACAAGTATATATTAATTATTCTATATATACTTGATTTTGATTAGACTTATAACCAATTCAATTCGCATTGACATGATCTAAAAGTTGACATAAACCGAAAATCAACCGATCCGTTGTTGACTTAACCCGGAATCTAACCGATCCGATATTAACTCAACCCGATATTGACCCAATCCAAAAATCAACCAATCCGGTATTAATCCAACTCGATATTGACCCGATCCAAAAATCAACTGATCTGACATTGATCCAAACTGAAAAACAAATGATCCAATAATCACCGACCCGAAAATTGACCCGACCCGATTTGATTCACCATACACCCAAAACTAGATCCAAACAAAATTAAAACAAATTTAATCTAGATCCGAAATGACTGGAACCCAATCACCCGTCTGCCACTTATAATGGGTGGGTGGTGGACATGGCCTAGCCTAGATATGCCCCTGCTCATCACATGATTAAATGTGCAAAAAAATCAACTGCACAAGTATCAAGATGTGAATGCCAAACCATTATATATCAACGAACTGATACATGGTTTAGAAAAATAAGGCAGCAAATGATAAAATTATAATGGAGGAACTAAATCTACCAAAAACACAAAGTACATGTGCCCTTGACCACAATTGGAAATCAACCTGTTCGTATTTAAAAAAAAAGGGGGGGGGGGAAAGAAATCATGCTGTTCGTTTTTAATCACTGGATTGAATTTCATTTTATAATTTTGAAAGTGTTCATATTTCAGCAAAACCGGATGAAAAGTCAGAAAGAGCTGGCCTGGCCTTGAACGAAAGCTTCTCGCCATTTCCACTTGTTTCCACTTAAACTGAGATGTAGTAGATTGACTTGAATTTGATTCCACCGGAGAATGACTTGCAAGTTTTATTATGGAACATAATGCTCCCAGCAGACTTTTAATGCATCAAATAGACAAATACGAATCTTCCACAGATGCACAGTCCCAAAAACGTACTACTGGTTTCGAATATATCAAAATGGTAGATAAATTGGCTATCCAACACATGTTATTTAGGGAAAATTAATCTAATATAATCGAACATTTCACACCAAAGAGTTAGCAGATGTAAAAATAATGATATGCAGTGAAGAAAATACAAACACAAACAATATAAGTTGTAACAAAATTAGTTTGTTTTTTCAGACCAAAACAGCAACTACAGTAGTAGTGAATGTGTACCCTTCAGATCTCATTCTCAACATAGTTTGCTCAAGAACCGCAGCAAGCTGATTTTTGAGTGGCCGCAGCACCCCCTGCAGCCTGGTCGGTTTGATTAATTTTGATTGCTTGTGGCTGCAGATTAAAAGAAAAATACAATTGGAAAAGGTAAATGGATTTGCACAAATATAGTATGTTGAAGTTAAAGAAACCATACGTCAGGCCTGGAGTCAGTATCCGCAAGTCTTTTCTTAATGTCCCTGGCTATCGAAAAGAAAACCTCCTCAACGTTTAGGTTTGTTTTTGCACTCTGCAGCATGATACAGTGTCACTTGAGCATGTAGGAAACATTTATTAATCATATCAAAAGTAACTACGACATCTTAAGTACAATTTACATACAGTTTCAAAGAACTGGATGCCATATTCATCAGCAAGAGCTTGGCCCTTTGAGGTAGGGACGGCCTGAAAAAATAAGTTCTTAAAGCTCTATATGTGCATATAGAAGAGAGATGAAGAGAAACATACCCTTTTGCTTTCATCCATGTCAGCCTTATTACCAACCAGAATCTTGTTGACATTATCCGAAGCATGCTGTTCAATATTACGGATCCAATTTCTAATGTCTAAGCAGAAAAGGGCAATAACTCAGTAACTATAACAGAGAAAGAATGAAATTTCAGATAATTGGATAAGAAGTACGTTTCAAGTTTCCACATTGCAAGAAAGTGAAACGATCCAAAAACGAGGAATTATTAAGAGGAATACTAAAACAGTAAAAAGGATGCAAAGGTGGATAAGTTCAAACAGCGTACGTATGACAATTGAAATGAAAGTGTACAGCACTTACTATTGAAAGATGACTCATCAGTCACGTCATAGACGAGCAAAATACCCATGGCTCCGCGATAGTAAGCTGCAAAAAATAGAATACGTTACTAGATCCACCCAACAAGTATACAAGACCATAGAAGACAATAAAAAGGAATCAAATAATTTCAACTCCTGTTATTAATTTTGTTACCAAGTCCTTTCAAACTGGGGAGTACAACAATAAGTGGGTTTGAAACATTAGAGATGCAAGCCATGGAAGCATACAAATTCCTAACTTCCAAACGGACTAAAAAACAACAAAGAAAGAGAATGGAGAGCAACAAAAAAAAAATTGAATTAGAGATTTTATTAAATTGAACATATTAGAGTGAGAGCAATGGTATCTCCCATCATGCAATGAAACTTGCAAATTACAAGCTCAGGCAGAAGAATACTAACTCATGCTCTCAAATATATTATAAATCAGATCAGATTATAATTATGATTAGATAATTCAATTCGAATCAATAACAAATTCAAAGTCATAAGCTAACCCGTTGTAATTGTTCGAAACCGCTCTTGCCCAGCAGTATCCCAAATTTGCAGTTTGATTCTTTTTCCATCGAGTTCTATAGTCCTTATCTTAAAGTCAATTCTGCCAAAGAAGACACATTACTATCAACCCACATCCATTTTGTAACAAAATTCTTAATAAAAAAAGACCACTGAACTTTGATTAGAAGAACACCTACCCAATGGTCGTAATAAAACTTGTAGTAAATGAGCCATCCGAGAAACGCAAGAGGAGGCAACTCTTACCCACACCTGCCCAACCACACAATATTCATAACTAAAATTCAAAAGGAAGCGCAGATATCAAGACAAAGCTCTTGTAAATTAATGAAACAGCAACTATTAATCCCTAACTACAGGCAAATACAACTATTTGTAGCAGGCCATCCAACGAACTAAGAAACACCACCTCATGCAAATGTACATTCCGACTCCAGGATATTCATCATCCGTAAAACTAATCGAGACAGAAAATATTCACATGACAATTAGCTATCAAGACAGATCCAACCTAAAATGTCAAAAGCATAGATTTAACCACTTATAAGTTAATACATACCATAAACCTAAAATGAAGCTTAATCTAAGGTATGATCTTCAAAAACAAAGAATGGTCTCACATCTAGGTTCTCTTTATTAAAAAACAAAAATCAAAGGCTTTTTGAATAAATCGATGTAACTTTAGGACTAGATCGCATTTCAAATCAATATTCATATATACAGAGAAAATTGAAAAAAAAAAATTACCGCTATCGCCGATCAAAAGGAGCTTTATAAGATAGTCGTAATCGGCTCGAGCTCTAGCAGGTGGAGCAGCCATAGAAATTGAAGAAATTTATCGAACAATCAAAAAACTAAGAAAGAAAAAATAAACCCTAGAAGTAGAAAAAAAAGTTTCGTCGTTAATAATCAATGTAAAGGAAAAAATAATATAAAAATAATTGAAATTTATTTTGGTAAATCGAAAGGAAAGGAAAGGAATACAGGGGAAGGAAGAGTGAGATCTGGTGGAACGAGATCAGAAGCGTCTCTGGTACGCCACCAACGGTCAGCCGTTGTGACTCATGTGAGAGAAAGAGGAAAAGAAAATTTTGAGATAGAGTATTGTTTGAGGAAATGAGTTTTTGGTATCGAATCCTAACCGTCGGATTAATAATCTTTGGCGTTAAGATATGTGTGGACGGTAACGGTTTTTCTTTTCCTTTAATTCATTCGTCAACGGAAGCAAAATGACGACAAGGCTTTCATGCAATAGAACGGCAGCGTTTAGGTCACGGGTTGGGTTTTGTTATCCAGAAAACGACGATGCAGCCAGCTGAACTTTAAAAATTATTTTACAATGTAATGCAGATAATTGAAATTAATTTTTTATAGGATAAAATTACAAAAAATATATATATTATAAGATTTTTATTAATCTTTTGATTATAAAAACTATAAAACTGATAATTTTTTTTTTAAAAATAATTAAAGAATGAAATGATATTTAATATAATTGATATGTTAATAAATTTAATCATCAAATATAATCTAGGTGATCAACTTTGTTAGATCAGTTAATGATTTTCAAAAAGAAAATTAATTCGATTAAATGTTAAAATAAGAAAGATAGGTTATTTCGATTTTGGGGAATTTGGTTCGATTGATGGCCAAACCAATCGTTTGAACTCCTAATTAAAGGTCTAATAATTTTTTTTTCTAACAATTTTTACTCTTTCTTGAAAACTAACAAGCCTAAAATTTTCAAGCTCGACTCGAAATCATGAATTGCAATTCGAAAAAGCTCGAAATGAAAAAAAAATCTTAATATATTATATTTTTGAGCTGCTCACGAGCTTTCTGAGTCGAGTATCAAGTAACTCGTTTCATCTCGTTAAAAACTCGAATCAAGTATTTATCGAACTTTGATGGAGTCAATCTCGAGTAGCCCGCAATCTATCTCGTCCCGTCTCATTTACAGACTTAGTCTGAAAATACTTGTATATAGCTAACATAACAAATACAACTAATACCATTTAAACATCTAAAATGATTCGAATCCAAGTCATTCATTTCAAATAAAAGCTGGTCTAAACAACACAAGAATTAGAACTAGAGTACAGTCGGCGTAATTGCCTACCAGTACCAGCATAAACATTTTTCTACAACCAAAAGTACACAAAGGAAGCTAAGTACACAAGAAATAAATACAGCAGCAACTAAGACTTACACTAAGCCTTCTTAGGTGACTTAGCCTTGGATGGTGACTTAGGCTCCTTGGCTGCCTGCGCCTTCTCATTTTTCTTCGGCAGAAGAACCGGGTTAATGTTGGGTAGAACTCCACCATGAGCAATAGTCACACCAGCCAATAATTTCCCAAGTTCCTCATCGTTCCTCACCGCCAAAAGAACATGCCTCGGAATTATCCTATTCTTCTTGTTGTCCCTTGCAGCATTACCAGCCAACTCAAGAACCTTCAATACCACAAAAGAAACCCCCCTTCAAATTTTAACAACATGCTTAATATATGAAGTATGTAAACCTTTAGATTCACCCAACCAAGAAAACAAACCTCAAAAGATAACCGCAAAAGGCTAACCCCAGATAGCTTTTTTCGTAGTAAAAATAGTTTGCAATATGAGGAATTACCACAAATGATATGATTCAGTAAGGGCTAACTCCTTAGGATGACTATGAATCAATTAAACTTGAACCCTAGCTCAAATGTTCAATGCAATCTCTTAGGAAAGACTGCAAATGCTATGATTCAAATCCTAGACATGTTAAACACTAACTCTTATGACTACGAGTAAATTCAGTCACGCTAGCTTTTGGTTTCATCAATCTATATCGGATCAAATTCAGTTTTAAACTTTTCAAAGCATATTGATTTTGAGTCAATTTCAAGTTCAAATTATAACAACTTCAGGTTGTTTTGGGCTTTGATCACTCATGCCCGGGGCTTGCTATTATTTTAATTATTACTTATTCAAGTCATTTTAAGTTCAAGTCAATTTAAATTCAGGTCCATTCAAGTTCAAATTGAATAGGTTCACATCAAATCAAATTCAAGTTCGGGTTAATCCAATCAGTTTTTTCAGGTTTGGGTCAATTAACAAGTCTACTTGGATTATTCAAAAAAAAATAGTCTACCTAGGAGTTACTAGATGCATCAAGACAGCAAAACTCATGTTAAATTCAGATTTCTTATTGAACCAACAGTAAATTCATACTTTCTACACTAATTACTTTTCTCTAGTTCAGTTTACTATTTGAAGCATACAGTTTCCATATTTTAAGACCAAATGTAGATGGAAAGAACTTTAAAACTACGTAATCACGCGAATTAACTTATTTTCCGTTTTAGCTTCAATAATAAACTTCCCTAATTTTACTTTTCCTCTTTTCTCGCTAACCAAACAAACCTTAAGTTGTAAGATAATAAAGTGAAAACAAAAAAGGGGAAAATGAAATAACCTCAGCAGCAAGGTATTCAAGAACAGCAGCGAGGTAAACGGGAGCACCGGTTCCTACACGCTGAGAATAACGACCTTTCTTCAAGTAACGACCAATTCGACCAACCGGAAACTGTAACCCGGCTTTCACCGACCGAGAAACAGGTTTCCTCTTTGGACCGCCACCTTTCCTTCCTCCGGCCCCTTTTTTCACCTTTGATCCGATATCCATCACTTGAGAAAAAAATAGAGAAATTGGAAATGAACTTCACAGTATTTTTTTTCTCGAGAAAATACTTTTGTAGGAGGAATGAGTTTTAATTTATAGAGTAAACGCTTCATACTAAAATGAGTGCCGAAACTATAATATTTTTGCCGAATAAGTGAATAAAGTATTTTTTTGTCTTAATCTAGTGCTTAAAGTTACAAACGTTGTCATTTTAAGTGTGTGGATTGTTAACGGTATTAATTTCTCTCACACATTTCATAATATGATAATTTTAAAAATTATATTTAAAATTAAAAAAAATTAAAAGTATATATTTTTTAAAAAAGAAAACACAAATTTTTTGAAATAACTCAAAAACTTTGAAAATCTTCATTTCAACCCCTAAATCCACGTCAATCACCACCCTTTGCCATCGACGAAGCCCCACTTAACCTCACCTCCCTCCGGTGACCAAACCCCTATGAAATCGGAATCAATTGACGACCGATCGACGACGAATCGATGTTTTATACTCACGAACTCTAGGATGAAAATCGTGATCCCACGCTACTCTAACGGCCAATCGGCGACAACTACAACAGTGTATGACTAGGAGGATGGCAAGGACTACGTCGACGGTGGTGGTCGTGGTCGAAAAGGGTGGCGTCGATGGGTCCTGGTCGAAAAGGGTCACTTAACAAAAAAAAATTAATGTCGTTGACGGCCTGGGCACCTAAAATGGTAACATTATAACGTTAGGCACCTGGATGAGTTAAAAAATACTTTAGGCACTTATTCGGAAAAAGCGGTATAATTTGGACACTTATTTTGATATTAAAGCCTAGAGTAAATTATCTATCTGTTACATAGCTTTTGTTTTAGTTGTTCAATTATTATTTTATTTGAAACTATATATAATATTATGTTTATTTATTATAAAAAATTAAAAGTTATATTGATGTGTCATTATAAGATAATATTATTTCAGTATTAAAAAATAAAAAAAAATATCACTGTTAATTTTTTAATTGCATGTAACTAAAATTAAATTAAAACATAATGTTAGATATAAATTTTAAAAAAAATAATACTTAAATGATTAAAACATAAATTAAATAATAAGTGGATGACCAAATAAGTAGTTTACGCTAATTTGAATGACCAAACGTAACCGTTGGATTGAATTTAATTAACAGCGAAGAATCAACTTAGCTGCCAAACCTCGTTTTCAAAACCAATCGATGAAACATTGTTTTGAACTTATCGGGATTTGAGAAAATAAAGAAATTCAGAAAACAGTGAAACTTAGAGATGATAGAGATAGCAGAAGAGAATACATTCATTCAAAATTTTCATATAATATTTTATATTTAGTACATTGTTTTATTTACCCACATTGTACCATTCCAGCTATATTATCCAACTGGCAGTACTGCAATAACTAATTCCAACGTATAACTCGCAAAGGCGTGACTTTATCTGGATTAGTTGGGTCACTTTTGCCTTCAGATATGATCTCCTGCTCTATTGTTGTATCATATGAGCTCCTCACGTACAGTCAATATTTTCCTCCTTTTTGCATTATCCTCATTTTCTTCAATTGAAATCTGTAGACATTTTTTTTCCATTTCTTAAAAATCCCCAACTCATCCCTGAATTTTCCCTGGATTAGTTGTGCTTCTTCATCCAACATTTTTCGAACGTCATAGCCGGGTTAACATTCAATTGTCCCTTAGGTCCAACCTCGGAAAGATCCAGTGCGGTAATATTTTGATTTTCAAATTTTTCTTCAACAAGCTGATATGAAATATTAGGTGCAACCTCAAGGACCCATGCAATTTCAATTTGTACACTACTGAACACATGTGTTGTATTATTGTGTAGGACTCGTAGAACCTGACAATTAGCCACTTTAAATTCTCTCGAAAAGCAAACGAAGTCTGATGGTAAGGCTGTAGCTTAAGGTAGATTTTGTCACCAACTTATAGTTCTTTGTCTATCCTATTTTTATCTGCATAAAAATAAATTATGTTTTATGTCTATTGAAGTTGTTTCAAACACTTAATACAGACTTTCTTTGCACTCAAGCATTTCTTGTACTGAATGCATTATAGATTGATTACCTTTTTACACAAATGGTTGCCTTTAGGCTCCACAACCCTTATCATGCTATAAGCAACCATTTCTAAACTATAACTTTCATGTGTCATTAGTTGGAATTGTATCAAATAATTTAATCTCTACGTACTCTTTGACTCTTGCTTGACTTTTTTACCTCTAGTGTCCTCTTCCTATATTAATATGACATTTCCCCCCTTCAGTTGGTTCTTGTCTCCAAGAATCAAATAATAAGGATAATAATAGAATTATCCTTAAAGAGTGTGTGTTGTTCATGACCTTGTAAGCGATTTGATGCCAACCTGAAGCAAATAACATAAAATTACAGCTAAATCTTGTGTTGGTTATGATATTATCTCTCATATATGCACCAACAATTACCAGTGTCACTTTCTTTAAATGCTACGTAGAGTTTAACAATTAGTAGCTCATTTTGAAATGTATCATCCTTAGTGAGGTTAGAGGCCTTTGTGTGTTTCACTACTCGCTCATTGTCCTCATTTTCAAACATCCTTTCCCAATAAATTGTCACCACCGTGTGGTATAGATTTGTATTAACCGGCAAAACAATGTAGCCTTTCAAGCAATAAGGCGTTTTAGGTCTTATAATTTTGTCAAATACACTTCTTCTGAAAAACCCAAACTGTCAATTCTCATCTTCCCAAAACTATAGGCAGCAATATACATATATCCACCTAAATCAATTACCCTAATATGTCCATCCCTAACAAAAACACAGAGAACAAGAAAACATGTTCTCTTAAATGTTTGAATCACGCATGGATAGAATTTAGTTTGTTGTTTCTCATGGTCAAAGCAAAGGTCAGAACTATAACCAAAGGGTAAACTACTTCATTGTCAATTACAGCTAAAGCATAACTTGAGCTAACATTAATATGAATTATAGAGCTAACTTTCTTGAGCAGTTCCACCACTTTGGCTCTATCTTTGCGAATGGGCGTGTAAACAAATTCAGTATTTCTTCCCACATCATCAAGAGCTAAATCGAATAATTCATCACTACTAACTTTCTCCTTGATCCCATTGATTTTCAGTCTTCACCACGCATGAAAACCGTCTACACCAAAACATAGATCACAAAGTACAACCACAGAGTCATAAAATAATATCAAGAGATCATTGAAACTGCTTCATATACCGAACTTCAATTGAATAGAAATCATAATGTGCAACCTTTTATTCACATTCAAATTCCTAGCCAAATAAACCATACCCGTTCCTATCAACAAAAGCCTAAATATATAATGATCAAGGATCGAGATATGTTCATTGACATTCATAAAAATTCTGAAATAAATTTCTCTAAACATTGATTGAACTAGAGAATTCAAGTTATTTGAGTTATAAGATTTTTGACGCTATAAAAATTGATTCACATTTAACATTGAAGGAGAACCAACTAATTGTTTTTGTGGCATTAGAACTATTTCAATCGTGTCATTAAAGAGTCTAAATGAATTAATGGTGAATGGCCGAAAGGTAGCAACTTGAACCAACATAGGAAAATCTTTATTTTTCCCACGAAATCAATTTGGTAGATCCAAACAGACAGACGTTCTGCTGCAGTCATGAATTAGCTTGCATGGTACTGGTGATGGATGGAAATACAACATCAACTAAACTTGTTGACATTTTATTGAACACTTGAGATGTTGGTAATGCTCAATTTGTAACCGTCTTTTAAAGGATTTTAATTCTATGTTTAATAGAATTAAAATGTTATTTGGAAGTGACTATTTTACCCTCACTATTTAGCCTATAAATAGTGGGCAAATTCATTCACTTTTAGATATCCCAAGCAAACATTTTCTTTGAAACACTTTTCCTCTTTAGAGTGTTCGTTTGAGTTGAGAGAAGAGCAGTATCATCTAAGTTCACTCTAGTTTTCGGGTGTACAAATTCTTGGAGAGCCATGTTAACTTCAGGGGGTTGTTCGTCCATTGTAGTTATTACACACATCGGGGCGAATTTGCTTCTAAGGCAGTGGATTACCAAGACACAGTTATCATTCTGATTGAATAATTTATTTAATATTTTCCAGTCAGTGCTAACGTCTCGTTTTACAGCATTATATTTTTCCAACAATTTAGAAGCAAATTCGAACTGTTGCATGATATTTGTAAAAGGAACGATGAAACCACATGTTGGATTCAAGTTTGTGTGTAAGTGTGATTTCAAATGTCGGTTCAACCTTGCATCAAATTGGTATGTAATATTTTGATACAGATTATTATTATCGCGATTCGATGCAGCCTGATGCTAGTGACGATGTCATGAATTTTAGTGGTTTCAATGTTTTGAATGCTTGAATTATTAATATTTATGTTCTTTCAATGTTTTAAAGATTAGCTGTTATTTGATGTAACGGCATGCATCATGATTTTAAGATGGATATGTGTTAGGCACATTTGAAAGCAATTATAAATATTTTAGCTACAATCAACGTCCTATAATAAATGCTTTATGAAGTCTAAATGATAACAATTTTATTATTAAATGGTAATTTTAATATTGTGTTATAAGCATTTGTGCATGATAATATGTTATCATGATTAATCTGGAATGTTGGTGTTTAATAGTATGGATTAGTAGTATTTTTTAATTGATAATTCATTTCAATTTTAAATGTATTAATGTTTGAATAAAAAATTAAAAAATATTCATGTGAGTTGTGAATAGATATTTATTAGAAATTATAGCACTTTAAATGCTATTGTGAAGAATGAATGGACATAAGTTATAAAATTTATAATGGTCACTTATGTGAATAGATTTTTTGACGTTTGCATTAATAAATGCATAATAATATATTAATCATGTGATTTGAGAGCTTAATATTAAATTAATACATCATCAAATTATGATAATCTTTAAATAATATTTACATGATCTATCGTGTATTAGTTAAGTGAATAATGATGATTGATTCATGTGAAGATATGTAATTATTTATTTATGTA